AGTCCCCTTCTCCTGCACAGTTCTCCATCAGTTTGCACAGTCACACTAGCCTTCCAAGTCCTGGTTTTCACCCCTGCCAGCTGCAAAGCCCCTATCGGTAGCCCATTGGTAGCCCATAGTTCCTTGGTAGCCCATCAGTCAGTGTCTTGGCCACTGCTTCCATTGTTGGTCACTGTGTTGACTCTGCTTCCATTATGTTTACTTGTCACTTTTGCCACTCTGTATGTTTTGTTAATGGCTTCTCCTTTCTCTTTGACATCCCCTTTCACAAGATGCTTTATCACATAATCCTACTGAAATGAACATTCCCATGTTCCAGTGGCCCCTTATCAATTTCATTACTGCTTTCCTTATAGTATGAATCAGATTGTGCCTGTGTCTTACTGCTTATGGCTTCCTTCTTTAATTAGCATCCTTTTCTGCTTTAAAAGAGAGCCTTAATGGAGCTGACTCTCCATCCTACCACACTCATATCTAATATAGTATGTATTAAACTCTACTTAATGACAGATTGTTTGGTTAAAGAAAGCTTTTGTTATAAATTTCTGCTTAAAATATTGTTGGATAGCATTTTAGGTGATTCTGCAATGCACACATACAGTTAGGGAGCTTAAATTTTATTCTAATAAACACTTCAGTTTTAGAATTTCCATCGTTTGTATAGGAGGTGAGAAGGAACACAAATCTTTGCTTTCACAGGATACCAATCCTAATTTTTTTGGGGTAACATTAATCCTCCTTTGCGCTGTCCTTTTCCTCCAAATGTGGAATGATGCCAAAATAACTGAAAAGTTTCTCTGCAATTGTGAGTTGGGGCAAAGAATTGATTGAGTGAGGAACTTCAGCTGAGCTAAAGGAAGAGTTAAGAAAAGTGCAGTTGGCACTTACCACTTTGACAGATCACTAAAACTTTTTGCACATTAGGTCTAATGCTGTGTGTCTGAAGCTGACTGTCAGCAAATATACCAGTACCAAAAATAACACACTCAGTAAATAATCTAAGAAAATGAAAAGGGATCCTAAAGTATTTAAAGTACTTATAAAAGGCAAAAGGAGAGGCTTAGGTGACCTATTATATACTCTTTGTATTGAAGATACATTTTCATCAGTTACTTCAACTTTTTTTTTTTTTTCCTTTAAAGTGCTGGCACACTTACCTTCTGCAATTCAATTTGTAGCACTAGAAACTAGCATCTTCTAGCCTACAGAAATGGTAGATGCAGGAGTACTCTCCAATGAACTTCTTTCATGACAGCATTTCTTTCCTCTTTCATTATGTGCAAGACATCAAATGCAATCCCAGAGGGGCTGAGAAGAGAAGAAGAAGGTCTTAAGATAATTGGTGTATTTTTCAAGATCTGTTTATAGAGTATAAAGAAAAGATACATTTTGGTGAAGAAAAAGGTTGGGTTATTGAATCATTTTAGGTCATTAGACAAGCTGATTCACATTAAAAGGAGAAAGGTAGAGGAATGTGACAGAGAAACAGAGAACTTCTCTTTTAACTCTTTTATTATTCTTTAATGAAGCATTACGGCTTCATTTGAGAATTTCATTCAATAGTAGGACTAATATGGTCTAATATGAACTAATCAGAGTAGTGAACAATATTGGAATATTTTCTTGTCTTTGCTTAAGCTATTAATATTAATTTCAGTGTCTGTTTTTGTTAAAAGTACAAACAAATGCATCTGTTTTATTGAAAAGTATGAACAGCAATAGATTACTCACAGTTGGCATCCCATTGTATCTTGATGTACTTTTTGGCTTTTGACTGTCTGGTGTACTACAGCAATTGAAAAATACAAGAATGATTATGGAAAACACAAATTGCTAAACCCTTTGCAGTGTAGGAGATGATTTACATAGTATACAATATATTAACAACACAGGGTAAAGTCAGTGCCAGTTAATTGCCTCTGTCTCTTTAAATGTTCAAGGTCGCTAATGGGCTACAAGAAAAACAGAGTGTTATCCTTATTTTGAAATCAAAATCTCAGTCTCCAATCTTCGTAGAGAAGTTGTTCAAGTATGGGCTGGATAAGCAGACAGTGATATGGATCTCTCCTACAAAGACAGGATGAGAGTGTTGGGGTAGTTCAGCCTGAAAAGAGAAGGCTGTGGGGTGACTTTATTGAGACCTTCCATTACCGAAATGGGGCTTATAGAAAAGAGGAACAGTAGCCTTTTGCACTGACAGGTACTGACAGGACAAGGGAAGACACTTTTAAACTAAAAGAGGACAGATTAGGCTAGTTCTTAGGAAGAAATTCTCTACTCACTGGGTGGTGAGGCATTAATGGGTTTCCCAGACAAGTGGATGCCCCATTCCTGGAGGTACTTAAGGCCAGGTTGGGTGGGCAACCTGGGCAACCTGTTCTAGTGGGTGACATTGCTGTCTATGGCAGGGGATTGGAACTAGATGGTCTTGAAATTCCCTTCTAGCCCAAGCCATTCTATGATTCTGTGATGAATGATCTGGATGGTAGGGCAGAAAATTGTGCTACCAACCAGAGGGATCTTAAGAATTCATTACTCATATCTTACCTAGCCTGCTTTCAACAGAAGAGACTTAGTATGGACAGGGAATTGACCTATTTCTTTGTATACGTTTATCAGAAGGGAACATTTAGAAGGTGATTTTAACAGGTGTCACGTAAGAAAATTGCCACAGCAGCTAAGTACCATACCTCTTCTTTGACTGCTACCATACTACTCTTCAAGAAGGAAACATTGATACACCATTAAACAGGAGAAGACATTACTAACGCCTCCAGACTGACATGCCATTGGTAAAGACTCTCATATTGAAAGGAATCTGTTGCTGTCTCATGAGAGTGCTTATAAAAAAGTAAGAAATTTGTAACAGGATAATTGCCAAAGCTGTTAATTTCCTAATATAGATCTTGAACAAGATCCTAATCACCACTTATTTCTATGCAAATGATAAAAGGAGTTATGAATCATTTTAGTAAAAAACAGAATTAGTCACTCTCTGCTAGGTTTTCATCAGTAACAATGGAGATGAACTCATCCCTTTAGTCAATGATTGCTCCTCTCACTCACTCATACATTCTGAGTTTCCTTAATTCTTCAGAAGTAGACCCTTCTAAATACTCATGTCGTGATGATTTTTCATCACCCAAATATGTAGTGGTCCTGTTGATTCATATATAATTGCAAAGGCAAGCTGAGTGTCTGGTGAGGACAAATGAAAAAATGCTATTGAATTTCACTGTACCTGAGATTAGCTAAACTCACAGTGCAAAGGAACAGAATTCCAAGCATCTGCACTGGATAGGGTATCGTATTTTGTGAATTCACGATTCTTATTTCTAACAATCCAGTCTGAATGCAGTAATCCAGTGGGAGTCTCAGGAGAGAACTGCAGAGGGGACGAACCACCTGACCTGCTGCTCATGCTGCTTTGCTTGCAGCCCAGGATGTGGTTGCTTTCTGGGCTGCAAGTGCACTTTTTTGAGTCATGTTGAGCTTCTCATCTACTCACATTCCCATGTCCTCAGCTCCAGTTACTGAGCACTTATAATTGGAGTTATGCCTTCAAGGAGACTCATGGCCTTCCAAATCCTACCATGAAATCAGCACTTCCCTGAACTGATGTCACTGCTCATGGTGGTACCCACCCCCAGTTCTCCAGCCCGTCTAACTCTCCCAGATGCTAGCACACTCACTGGAGTGCCAGATACCCCAAACATCCCCAGTTTGGTGGGTTTCAGCTGTGCTCAGTCCCCACTGGGATCAGGCATTAAGGGTGTTGCACCCCTCAGAAGAATCATAACACCAGGGCTAAAGAACATAAATATTTTTTCACATTTTTAATAGGATTGGGGTAACCCAAGTGGTCCCTGACATTCACTGGATGCTCAGGATTAATGAAATTCAGGTTCTGTTAATCATATTCTGGGTCCAGCTCTGCCAGCACAGGGGCTTACAAAAGGGCTTACATGGTGTGGTCATGCCCCTATCTGCAGCCTTGTCCGTATCCACCTGCAGCAGCTCTGACGGGACACCATCCCTCAGGAACCCCATCTCGATGGCACCTTCACATGGACACCTCTGCAGGCCCCTAGTACCTCTCTCCACTGGACCAGCTACCCCTGCAGTGGCTCTCAGTTCCACTCAGACAGCACCTGGTTCTGTGGGAGGGTGTGGATAATCTCCAGGAGCAAGACATCATTGTCTACAGCCATGTCTGGGAGGCTGCTGGAGTGCACCTCCACATTGCAGGGCTCTGTTCCCTGTCCTTGATATTTCCAGCAACTGTCCATGCTTTGGGTCTGTTACTGATAGCAGCTCCAGTGGGGATCCTAGTGAAAGACCTTCCCCAGCTTCATTACTGTCCTCAGATCAACCTTGCAGAACTGGCATTGTTCCATGTAATTGAGAATAGTCAGGTCAATGATGGCATGGGGCCAGAAAAATAAGTCTGTGGAAATGGAGCTGTGCCATGGCATATTGGTCCTCAAGGCTCCAAGAGTTGGGCAGCTAGGCCAGTGGGGACAGGCCCTCTTTTCCTGAAGCCTCCATATTCACCATCCAGAGAAGAGGGAAGAGACCCTGGCTCCTGTGGCTGGACCTGTGGAGAGCTGGCCTCCTCAGCTATTGGACAACACTGCCCTGAATGGGTAGAGGTAGGGCATAGGGTGAGAACTGGTGTTGGATCTAGTGTTCCCCCTCAGCATTCAATGTGTCTCTGAGGTCAGTGTGGGTCCTGCACTTCTGCACCTGCCTGGATAGACACTGCAAAGAGAGGACAGACGCTGGCACAGCCCTGATTTATTGCTGCCATGAGGTGTTAGCCATTTGTGGGGTGCTGGGTGCCAGGGCCACTCTCTACTCTGCTCATGTTTACAGGCTTTTTCTGTGCTTCTGCAGCACTTCCAGTGCTCTGCAAAACCCACAGGACATGGCCAAGAGGGGAGTGGCTTCTGGGCCCACTTGCAGCCTCTCACACCTCTCCACACCACATAATGCAATACCATTCCTTGTGAGCCCCAAACTGCCCAATCCCATGCCGTGGTGCCATGCAGTTGCCACCGACCTACAAACACCGGGCCTGCAACTGTGCACTGAGCCAGTGGATTTCCAGCATGTGGACCAGGAATGCAATCAGCCATGGCGGCAATGTTGGGGCACTTCATGGCACCAGTTCTAGTGCAGCTCCAGTGCTCTGTGTCACCAGCACAGGCTGATGATGAGGCTCTCCACTGACACCTGGATTCCCCAGTGATAGCTTTCTCCAAACGACTGGGGCAGCAGAAGTCAAGGCTACAGCCTGTGAAAAGACTGTAGTGTTCATTTGATACAGCAATTGTGACACCTGCGCGATCTGTTTTTTTAGATCACCTAAATATTCAGAAAGAAGTTTTGTGTGAAAATTATTAGTGTTTGGCAGTGGAAAAAATTCCTTTTTTGTGAATGATTAAAGTGAGGTATTCTACCACAGACAGAAGTTGCACTGTCTGGTGTGTCCTGATCAAAGATCGAAGACACATTTGATGTTGCACAGCTTGTAATTCCCAGCATCTCAGCGACTTAAGATTACTTTTTCTGTGTAGCGTTATCTTTAATAAATGGTATTTGAATTGATACTTTGCAGAGTCTGAGTGCCTTTCTTACTGGAATCATAACAAACCAGAAGATTCTGGTGCAAAACAGATGCTAAGATGCTGTTCAAAGCTGATAAACTGCAAGTTGCAGTATCTTTGGAGGAAAGACAGACTGCAGTGGCAGCTAAGTTGCATCAGCGAGTCTCCAGTAATGAAAAACAAATCAGTAGTCTAGAGGGAAAATTAAACTTGCAAGAAAAAATCCTACTCTTCCAAACATGGTTATAAATATACGATGAATATGAATAGCGAATGACAAGTGGAAGAATAAAGATGTAAATTCTCTGTATACCAATCTAAGCAGAAAGACTAGAGTTTTGGTGTTGCATAGAGATGACTGCAGTCTCTAATGTAGAAACTTCCCTGAGTCTGCCTCCTTTGAAGAGGGTGAATGTTATCAAGGTACTAGCAGGGAAAGAAACCTGTGATCTAATTAACACAGCTGTGAACATCTGGGCCTGTTGGAATTAAGTGCAAACAGTGCTATGTATTTGTCCGAAATACTATAATAATGCCCCTGCAAACTGGAAGCAAGAAATCTGTAGTAGTTTTAGCACTTTGAATTAGACTAATGAAAGCATACTCCTTCTTTTCTGAAATAAGACAACTTAAAAGCAGTATTCATATTCTGTATTGTTGATTTATGTCAAACTAGTAATTGCTTTTTCTGTCTATTGCACCCTCATTATCCCTACAGGAGAGGCCTCACCTTGGAGAGATTTATAGCAGGGGATTGTCAAGAAAATTATTCCCTTTCCACTCTTTCACCCCAGGACATTTTCCCTTCTATGAAGCAAAATGAAACTAAGCATATATGAAATATTTCTTGTTAGAGGTTGTTCTCACTGAATGGCCTGAAGCAATCCTTCTGTATGTATTCTGCCCTTGTCAAAAAAGGGAAGTGTTGTGTATCCAACGTTTTCCATAGACCCTCAAAATTTATAGTGCCAGGCTGAATCTGGCCATAATTATTTGTTAAGTATCACTTTACTGCAGAGGAACATCTGCCAAACCAGATATTAACTAATATGCTTTGTCCAATACATACAAATATCAAATAATAGTTAAATCTTGATTACAAAGAAATTTGACACTGCTTCTCTTGCTAAGAGAATGAATCTCCTGTTACTCATGATGTTCATGTGAATCTTAATTTTTAAGAACTTTTAAGTAAGATTGGAGAAGAAGCAAGAAATGCATAAAGATGGGAGAATTATCTAACCTAATTCCTCTCTTTCAGAAATATTTTTTATTCCTTCTGGTGAGGGGGAGGTGATAATTTTCGTTTTCTCAGACAGAGAGCCACAGCTTTCATTTTATATATTTTACACTCAGATTCTTCAAAACTGAGTGAGGAAATAGAGTTTTTTGTACTTTCTTGGGCATTTTTTCCTAATCCCTTAAGTGCTAAAACATTAAGACATGTAATGCTGTTGTTTGTTTAAGATACATAGATCAGTCAGATGTTTGCATTATATTTTTTTCCCACCCCTTAAGTATGGTATGGGATGTATGCAAAAGTTTTAGGAAGCAAATAAAAAATTTAAAATTTATAAATAATAATTTTTTTAAACATCTCAAATATGTGTATGGATTACAAATTAATGATTTTCTATCCTTTGAAACTCAAAAATGGTAATTGAGACTATGTTTTGTTTCTATTCAACTGACAGATTAATTTTTATATATATATATACGTACACACACACACACACACACACACACATATATATATATATATAGTGAAAGATGCAATGTTTCTAGGAAGAAGCTCCTGAAAGCTAGAGATACACAAGAAATTACTGAAACTCCCTTGAAAATAGATCAAATTTTCAACAGAAGTGATTTTACATAAAGTAAATTACCCTTCATGGCTCTTTTTTTTTCTCCGTTTTTTTTTGGTTTTTTTTGCTTCCAACTAAGATTTGTAGCAATACAAATATCAAAATATTTCTTAATTTGTATTTTTGCATTTTCTTTTAAATATAGTTGCCTACAATCACCCAAGATTATTTTCTGCATATTAAGAACAATTAATAAGTGACAGAAGGGAAGCTGCTGGTATTTAAATGGTGTTTAATATAATAGAATATTACAGTGCTGCTCCAGAAAAGAATTTTCAATGACTTATGTATGTCTTATAATTTGTCTTTTAAATACTGGGCCTTTGTGACTCTTCAGTTAACTACTTAAACTGAACTCATTAAGAACAATTAATTGAAACTGATAACCTAATTTCAACAATATGAATAATGATGAGGATGTTCTTCTTGGTTGTCCCCATTTGTAGGAACTCTCTCAGGCTTACATGAGACAGACTTTGTGTTTCTGGTTCTTTCAGTTAAAATGTTTCCAGTGTTTAGGTGAGTTTACCACTGCTTGACAACATAAAGGTCAAGAACTGATGAAACTGTTGAACTATGGATATATCAGGGTATAGACAGCAGCAATGGAAAAAATCTATACAAGTTCTGTATAAGATGATGGGTGGTTTTAGCACAGCTACAAATAGATACAGCTGCCAATGAATCATGTAACTCAACATTAAGCAAAGTTTCTGCAGAAGACTCCAATAAAATGTTAAGGAATTAATAAATGTAGAAATATTTCTTAACTTGCCATGTTTTCTGTCACTCTCAGTAACAGTCTTAAAGTGAAGAATTGCAGAAATATTTTACTTTGGAGTAATTTCACTCTTTGTAAAACAAATAATGAATTTTAGCTGCCTAGTCTGTCCTGCCCATTAAAGAAAAATTTACTAATGTGTTTGTAAAAATAAAAGATTTGGTTGAACTGGGTCTTGAATCTGATTGATTAATACTTGAGTACAGCATGGAAACTTACCATGGTGTTTTGGACAATGAATTTCTAATGTGCTCCTGTGCACAATCTAGGCATTAGAAATGCATCAATACTGTAAATTGTGCACCATAATATACGACAAATCTTGGATGCTGTAGATTTACTGTATTGCTAAAGAGGTAAAGTGTCTGACTAATATCTGTACTTTTCTTTTCTATTATTAAAGAATTGCTCTCTATTTTGGGAGCAAATGACAGTTTAGTATGCATGTTTTGTAGAAAGAAAATAACACTTGAGCTTTTAGATAATGGCGTAGTTTAATGTTCCAGGAAACCATTGCATAATAAAATATGATAATATTGGATAAGCTACTTACGCAAAAGTCCTAATCAGGAAAAAGACAATTTACTTATTTTTCTTCTAAATAGAGGTTTATATTTCAGAAAATTTGGTATCTATGTCAGTCAGAAGTTTAAAATTCTATGAACTGTAATTTGGGATGAATCCAACTTTAGCCTTTAGTAGCTTCTTCTGCCCTGGTAGTAATTAGACTAAGTTCAATAGATTTCACAGGATGTGAAATTGCAAAAACCCCAGAATAAGTCACCACATGCAGCCTGACAGTGAACAAATAGCAGAACAGTGACACTGAAAAGAGAAAATTTAGGAAGATAAATTAATTCATTATTTGTGAACCAGGACTAGATGGAATTAATTTTATTTGCATCATCTTCCTTCACAATGTAGAATCCCTAAGACAAATAATTAACTGTGGCTGCAGAGTGAATGGCAAGATGTTTTTGAATTTATTTCAGAAGTAGCTTCTTCTTGGAAAAACAAAAAACAAAACAAAAGGGAGAATTATGTACAGAATATGTATTTAATTTTTAAACAAGTGTACAAAACTATTGCAAAATCAGATATTTTTTCTCTTGCTGAACTTTTTTGAACTGAGATATTGCTAGTGCTGCAGAGAGATTTTTTTCCTAGCTGAGAAGATATGCAATTTGTTAATTATATCAGAATACAGTGAAATGACATAGAAATAGATGAGTCCTGTTTTCTAAATTATGGCATCTTAAAATACACCAAGCCTATTCAACTTCAAGAGGCTTCAAGAGGTGTTTGGATTAGGCTATCAGGAATACAGTGTGATTTTTGGGATTGTCCTGTGCAGTGCCAAGACCTGGTCTCCATAATCCTTTGGTATTCATTTAAATTCAGGATATTCTGTGATTTTATGATCCTATAAAACAATTTGAAACATTATAAAATGCATTATCACAATTCTTGGTTAGCTGAAAATTATTATACTTCTGTGTAAGTCCACCTCCTACCAGATGGTTATGATTGTTAAAGTGGAAACCATTTTTAAATTAGGCAGCATATATAAAAATACACAAACATATCTGATCACTGGATAAGAGGTACATTAACAGAAGAATAATCTGATTAAAATTAATGAATTAGTTATTTGTTCTCAATTTGCTTTGATTGTTTTATTGTTTTCCTTTTTTCAAACTGACGTGGTTTTTTTTTAAAACCTCATAATAACCTCATAGTTACATTTTTGTTACTTCTTGCTGCATAGTGCCTACCCTTCATGTAGACTATGTGTAGGAACAGAAGGAAAAGAAAACATTAGTTAATGCCTTTGAGAATTTTTGTAAATTTCGTTTTGCTGCCAGTGAATCAGCATTTTTCTA